TTCTGCTCTAAAATCTTTCCAATACAACAAGTCTATTATGCCCTATGTTTCAGAGCAGAGGAAAATATTTTAAAACAAATTTCTTAAGAAAAATCACTCTACATTTTCTAAATTCTGGTCCCTGAAACACTAACCAGAGAGAGGCTTACGAAGGCAGGTAAGAAGGATGGAGAGGAAGCAGGGAAAGGAGAGGAAGCATACCAGAATATTTTTCATGGAGACTGAATAATATAAAGTGGCACAGGAATGGTCCTGCAGTAAGAAAATTATTTCCTCTATCTTAAACCTAGTTTCTTGATTTGTTAAGGATTTAACAGTCCTCAGGCTACATGAAGGGAGCTCTAGTGGCCTAGTGAATAAGAAGGTGTGCTGTCAAACCAAATGCAGATGATCTAAATCCACCACTTGATCTAAAGGAGAACAACCGGCAACCTCCGGCAACCTCCTCCTGTGCGATTTACACAGTCTATGAAGACCCGCAGGAGAGTCACCTGTGAGTCAGTTCCAGCTCCAAGGCAATATGTGTGACTGAGGCTTGAGACTACATAAATACTATTGTTGGTAAAGACTGTGTAGAATTATCTTAAATATTTAGTATATAAAATTAGGTAACTTCAGTATTGGCCGTAGGAATAAGATTAATATACTTATCAAAGAGAAAATTATTATTTGAATAAAGTATTGTTGGGGGAGAGGGAAAAGACAAAGACTCTATCCCCAAAGATCTAATAAAAGAAGACAGGGGTAGAAGGAAAATGCAAAAATCTGTGAAGTCAGCTTTTTAACTCCCCATCTATCTTTGTTCTCTCTACTATTACCGCTTATTAAACAAATCATTTGCAGCTAAGATAGTTTAAAAAAAGAAAATCTGCTAGGTTCACTTGGTCAACTGGTGTAATATAGACCATAAAATTTATGTTCTATATTCTAATCTGTTCAGAAGCACCTGGAATCTTAAAAACTTTAATCAGAGAAATAGTTGCGATTTGAGTTTATTTTACTCAAATCATTGACACAGTAGGGAACAATAAAGTCTGAACCCTGCGTACTTCTTTCTTAGGGGAAAAAAGGATATATAAAAAAATAAAAGCAAAAGTACAAAATAATTTCAATTATTTCTTGAGGGCTATCACTGCAGATATCAGATGAATCTTGACTGTAAGAGACTACCAGAAAGATGTTTACTTGTATTTTACTCATTATACAAAGGCATTTGATTTTGTAGATCATAACAAGTTATGTTTAACACTGAAAGGAAATCTTAGAACACTTAATTGTGCTCATGTGAAACCTATACATAGACTATTAAACAGCTGTTCAAACAAAACAAGGGAATAGTGACTGAATGTTTAAAGATCAGAAAAGCTATGTTATCAGGGTTGTATCCCTTCTCCATACCTATTCAAATTTTTTGGTAAGTAAATCATTCAAGAAGTTGGACTATATGAAGAACATGACATCAAGTTTGGAGGAACAGTCATCTAACAAACACATTAAGCAGATACAACAACCTTGTTTGTAGAAAGTAAAGACTTGAAGCATTTACTGTGGAAGATCAAAGACAGTTTTCAGTATGGGTTACATCTCTACAGCAAGAAAATAATCCTCACCAGTGGAACAACAAGCATCATCACAATAATGGAGAAAAGGATGAAATTACCAATGTCAACAATATCATTTTACTTCAATCTACTCAACAATCATAGCAGTTGTCAAGAAATCAAAAGCTGTGCTGCACTGGGAAAAATCTGCAGTAAAGGACCTCTTCAAAGTGTTAAAGATCAGTAATGTCAATTTAAAGACTAGGGTGCACGTGATACCACCCATGGTTTTCTGAATTGCTTCCTACACATCTGAAAACTGGACAATGAATAAGGATAACAGAAGAAGAATGGATGTCCTTGAATTGTGGTACTGGAGAAGAGTACCAAATATCCCACAAAGTGCTTGGAGTAAATGCAGCTAGGGTGTTCCTTAGAGGCAATGATGGTCAATTTCAACTCACACATTTTGGACATGTTGTCAAAAGAGCCTGGTCTTTTGAAAATGACACCAGGCTGGGAAAGGTAGAGGATCAAGAAAAGAGAGAAAGGACCTCGACAAAATGGTCAAACATAAAAAAAACAAAAACAAAACAAAACAAAAACCCAAAAAAAGAACTAGACTGATAGTGACTGCAACAATGAGCTCAAGAATATCAGATATGGTGAGGATGGCACAAGTTAAGACAAAGTTCAGATCTGCTATTCACAGACTGTTATGTATGAGCTGGAGTCAATCTGACGGCACATAACAACATCACCAAGAAGAGAGGGTACACAATGAATGAATGGAAATCCAAAATCCCTGTAAACATTCACTAAAATTAATAAAATTAAAAAAAAATCATCTGCTCAAAAAAAAAAAAAAAGAAGAGAGGGTATGCAAGATAAAATGTACTCAAAATAGCTCTGTTAACAGAAAAGTAAAAGGGGGGGAACCCAAAACAAATTCTTTCAAAGCAATGTTAGCGCTTTAATCAAAAAGGGCTCGCTTTAAGTATTACCACTGTGCCCAGAATCATGTGAATAAATCAAGGAATTCAATCATTTAGTCACTAGTGATAGCTGGTCCCCAGGAGATGTTGACCTCAACACGTAAATTACTTGAAAATTCTTTATTCTCAATTTAGTTTGGGGTGGGGTGGGAATAAATCTCCCTTTTCAATCATGTTCATCCTCTTCTTTATAAAAGAATTAAGGGAAGGCAACAGAAGTCACTAAATGCTTACCAGCAACTTACCTCTCAATAATAGCAGCAAAGAACCCCAAACAAATATAGACCATAACCATTATATTCAGCTGGTAATTCATTTTTATATGTTATTAATCTTAAGGGTTGGTTGCCAAGAACAACTGACTAAAATGACCTTTAGTTAAAGAACAACAGTATAGATATGTAAACTCTTTCAGTAACAGCAGGCTTGAGAAAGTAATAAAACTTGATAGAATAAACTATGTATAGCTTTCATCCTTGAGTATGGATTACAAACTGATTGTGTGAATCCTTTAATACAGAAACATAAGGTAGTTTATAAAATAAGTAGATGAAAAACCAAAACTATACCAGTATAGCATTTAATTGGTGAAAAGTTATTCTTTAAGATCTAATAATCAGTTTATACAGACCTGCAAACTAGATGTGATCACAAATCTAAGAAAAAGAGATCAGTCTAAGGAACTAATTCACAGTCAAAAGAGACTAATTCACATTCAGATGGGACAAATACAAAAACTAGCACACCAAACTAATTTACCAGTAGGTTATCTTTACACTAAATCAGAACACTTTTTCTGTATTCAGAGTGTGCATACCCTTTTCCATATGAGTACTAATCTGGGATGGCTGAATTAGCAAGTTAAGTAAAGAATTAGGGTATGTGAAGTTGACCACTTTATGAGATATTCAGTCTAGGCTCTATCAAAGCCTATTAAGCACTCTTTACCCACAGAAGAGAATACCTGACTAGTGCTTGATCTGCTCATTTCTTAGATTCTCTATCTCTCCAATAAAAGTTTACCTTTCTGATTCTTTTTTTCTATGTTGTTACATTTTCATTAGAGAGATCACTATCAAATAAACTGCACCAAGCAAGCTACTGTTTCCAGGGGCTTGGGATGTTCTGCGTTTTTCCTCCACTACTCCCTACCTACCTATCAGTAGGCAAATTATTTCCCTATTTTCAAATTCTTAAGCTCCTCATGTAATACCTGTAATTTTAATAGAAATTATAAATTTCCTAAACATAATATAAAAACTACAAAATTCAATTAAACACAAGTCAATACTGCATATATGTAAATATATTAATATTTATAGCAAGTTGCTAAAAACTACCCACTTAGAGGAAAAAAAGCAATCAATGAAAACAATCTGAGAGCTGCAGGCTGCTTCAGATAAGGGCACAGGTAGGCTCATATAGTTTCATAAAAGAATTCTATATTTACTGCCTTTCAAATTATAAAGTGCAATTTTTATAACTATTTTAACATTTAATTCTCATAATCAGAACAATATTTAAATGGAAAGCCTCCAGGAAGATACTAATAAAGACAAAAGAAATAATACAGAATGTCAATTTTCAAAGGCACTGAAGGTCCAACCCACAATTAACACATAATTTCTTTTTTTTTTTAATTTTTTATTATTATTTTGTGTGCATGTACCGTCAAGTCAGATCTGACTGGTACAGGAGGATATTGCGCCTCCTTCTCCGGCAGAGCATCTGGTGGATTCGAACCGTGTTCCTCTGGGATTGCAGTGCAGTTTCTTGCCACTAGGCCACCAGAGCTCCCCTAGATAATTTCTTGAAATAAGACTTTTCAAAGCAGATTTATGCCTTCTTTCATAAACATATATTCCTGAATCATAAATGTACGAAAATACTTAAATGAACTTAGTGGAGTACATTGTTCTGAACCAAATACTTAGAAAAGTATAAAAATAGCAAAGTTGGAGTTTGTTACAACCATCAATTGCTTTCTTTGGCCCCAGTAACAAATTTTTTTTCTTTTCAGATTACTTGGACATCTTTAAAATTGATCTACCTAAAGACACGTTACCAGTTACTTATACCTTAGTTTATGTGCACAAATCCACTTAAAGATTTTAAGTCTAATCTCCAATTGTGAAAAACAAAAATGATAATTTAATGAAATGTACTTATCAGTTAACCTGGTGAGAGGCATTTTATAGAGTCACTGAAATAACATATAAGCACTTGATCATGTATAACATTAATTCATATGAGTACCTCACAGGAATGCATTGGTACATTAAGCAAAAACATAAAAAACAAAAGGAATTCTAAAGTACTGCAATAAGACCATACCACAAGATATATCTAATGTGCATTAGAAATCCTTTCTAAAGGAAAATATAAATATATAAATATTTGTTTTTTTGTTTGTTTGTTTTTTAAATATATAAATATTTGAAGCATAAAAACCAAGAGTTCTTACCTTACTACATCATCAATGTTGTTCCTGTATACACCTTCAAGTCTTTCTGCAGGAAACCCCATTGCAATAATGTTTGGATAAATATCTGAATATCAGAGTTAAGGAAATACCGGAAATATGTAAAAACTGCTAAAATGCACACATTTTGAGACATCAGTTGGTTATAAAAAGCATGCTTCCCCACTACAAATAAAGTATAAAAATTTATCAAATGTATTAATTTATAATCCATTGTGTATAATTAAGAAATGCTGGTAAATACATTAATTGAAAAAAAACCCTTGTAAATAATTACATAATGGAGTAAGTTCATACTCTTTTACTTAGTATATTAAAAATGTACCTAAGGAAAAAAGGTAACCTTATTTAAATTGTTCAGGTTTGTGTCCTCAAAAACCAGGCACTCTCTAAATCACATTTTGAGATTAAAAAAAACTGCATATGCCTAAAAAGACTTAATTTCACAAGTTCTAACTTTTAACGAGGCACCACAGTGTAGAGTAGAAACAATGAGTCAGAAAATCAAATTGAAGAGCTGGCTCTGTCCTTAACTAGTTGGGTAATCTGGACAAGTCATTTAACTTTTCTGAGACTTAATTTCATCATCTACATGTATGGCTCTACCCAGTAGAATGGGCACTAAATGTTAACACAGGCAGTGTGAACACACCCAACAAATCTACAGGAGAAACTGCTCTCCCTAGTGATCTGTTCCCATAAAGATTACATTCCAGGCAATTCTAGTATGTCATCCAGGGTCACTATGAGTCAAACAACCATAAATGATAAGAAAACAACCATTAAGGTCTCTTTCACAGCCTTTGGTTCCTATGATTTGATGACACTAAACTGAGGTAGCCAATGTGATGTATACTTGGCAGGTCCATAACATCACTACATTCACTTACATTACACACTCCAAATGGTATAAAAACAGATTTTTAGATCACTAAAAAAGATATACAAATAATAAACACATGAAAACATGCTGAAGGCAATGGCTGCAGGAAAATGCAAATCAAAACCACAATGAGATACTACTACTTTACCACCACTATTGTTCTTATGCACCAGAGAGTCAGAACTAGTTCATAGCTGACCAATCCTCCAAAGGGTTGTCAGGAGCCATAAATCACATGGCAGAAGACTGTCCATCTTTCTCCCAAGACACAGCTGATAGATTCAAACTGGCTGCCTTTGAGTTGGCAGTATACTCCCTTACCCACCAGGACACTAGAATTCATAATGTCACTAGGACAGCTATTATCAGAAAAATAACAAAAAAAGGAAAAATCAGAAAATAACAGTGGCCCAGGATGTACAGAAGTAGGAATTCTCTTCCATTGTTAATGATCCAACTGCTAGTATGGTACTACCTCAATAATTTAAGCATCTGACCCAGTCATTCAATAAACTGAAGAATAAGCAATTCCAATACTACATATATTTCCAAAAGAACTTAAAAGTCTAACAATAAGATTGGCACAGAATAAAGCAGGGTTTAGGGCTGTTGTACGTAAGAGTTGCTATGAGTTGCCTGCGACTCTAGGGTATGTAACAACAAGGTGCTTCACATGTTTTATCTGTAAGGTTAACCATTTGCTGTCAAGTTAATCCTGACTCATAGCAACTTTGCATTTATCTTGTTTTCAAATGCTCCATATTGCTCTCAATGGAAGATGCTTCCTAGGGTTTAAATAGCTAACTTTATGGAAATAAATTATCAGTCTATCTTCTTCTGAGATGACTTACATACAAGTTTTGGTGAGTAGTAGAGCATCTGCAAAATTCCACACACTTCCATCAAGTAAGGCCAGTGGTTTATGTTAACAGCCCAATATGTTACCACTATATCACCAGGGCTCTCTATTGAAGCTTGAGTCCAGAAATTACACAGTTAACGCAATCAGTGCTAACTCAAGAGCTGGAGGTTCAAATCCACTAAGATGCACTTCAGAAGAAAAATCCTGCAATTAGCTTCCAAAAAATTAGACACCAAGAATACGGAAATTTGCATACCAGTGTTCACATTTTTTTTTCACAACAGCCAAAACACAGGAACAACTGAAATGTCTAGCAACAGATTAATGGACAAACAAGATAATTCTATAGTGGAATATTACTCAGCTCAGAAATAAAGAGAAATCAAAGTCTTATGCATATGAATTCTAAAAACAACATATTGAACAAAATATGCCTGCCACATAAGGATAAATACTGTTATGATCTCAAGGATATTAAATAAACAGACATCAAAATGGTTAACAAGAGTGGAAGAGAAAAGCAAAAGGGGTATTTCTGCTTAGAGGACATTGAGTGTATGTTAATGGCAGTGGGATGATAGGGAGAATGGCTGCCCAACCTGAAGAATATCATCAACATGCAAAAACTATGGAGCTGGAGCTGGTGGGTGCATGCTTCACCACAACTTAAAGACAAAAACTGGAGGTGGAAAAGAAAACGAAAACCCTATGAAGCAGATCTACTCTGACACAAAGGACATCATGAATCAAAATCAACTTCACAACGAACAGGGTTTTTTTACTGGTTAATGATTTGTAAGATTTAGGATTGATTTTTTTTTTGAAAATTATAAAAATATTAATATGAACTCAAGTTTGCAATATCTGGGTCTGCCCACAGAAACAGCCAGTAAGCAATGTCACCCTAGAGTAAGTAGTAAGCTCAAGAGTTTCATGTCTACCATCGCAATACCCTAAAAGCCCTTGGAGAAAAAGCAAGGCAAGGCCCATGAAGGGAAGGTAAAGGTGGGTCACAGTGATCTTTCTGTGTCAAAAAGCAAGGAAACTCACACAGAGAGAGTCCGTGAAAAAAAAAAAAATTAAAAATTAGGAATTGGCATGAAAGAGTTCCCAGTGCCTAAAATGAAAAGCCATGATACTCAAAAGAAAAAAAAAATTTTTTTAAGGCTAAAAGATCAAAACAAGACAAAATCTTTCATTTATTATCAAAATTCTGAGTTGCAGATCATATTTACTGCTGCATTGTTCACAAGAACAAAGAGTTCGAAACAACCCAAGTGCCCAAACAAATGTATAGAGAAACAGTGGTATAGTTACACAATGGAATACTATGCAACACAAACACAAGGAGCTCATAAAATATTATGCAAAATGGATGACCCTGGATAATATTATACTGAGAGAATTATCTCAGTCACAAAAGGATAAATACTGCGTAATGCCACTGTTATAAAACAGGACTGACATGGGGGCTGGGGGAAACTAAAAAAAGGAATAAATAATGTATACTGCATTGAAGCAGATGAGGAATAGAACTGCTTTAAAAGCAATACACGATTGGCTATTATCTGCATGACAACTATCCAGAATAAGAGCTGCACAATAAAGTGGACTAGTGGGGGAGGATTGCAAAACAGTGGAAGAATTTTTTTTTCCAAAGAGAAAACCAAACTGGGTGGGCAGGTAGGAAAAGGCACAACAAAGAATGAATGGAAATTCAAGTTCTCTATAAACTTTCATTAAAACCTCCATTAAAAAAAATATGATCTGGATATTGGATGAAATGAAAAAATTTACTGGAATGGCAAAGCGGATATTACTGACTGAAGAAAGCAGGTTTCGGTGAGCTCTGGTGGTGTAGTGACAAGAAGCTGCACTGCAATCCTAGAGTTGAGCAGTTTGAATCCACCAGATGCTCTGCTGGAGAAGGAGGGACAGTCTCATCCTGTACCAGTCAGATCCAATTTGACGGTACACACACACACAAAAACAATAAAAAATTTTTTAAAAAAAGAAAGCAGGTTTCACTACAATATGTAGAGTGTTATACCATTATTGGTAGGAAAAATACAACTATACAAAATGGTTATATAATAACAATCTCTAGATGGTAGAATATTCATGATTTCATTTTTGCTTGTTTTCTATCTTTTCTAGATGGCACGGCATTGTTCCTATAACAGATTTTAAAACTTTCTAAAATTATTTCAAAATCTATATACCAAATGTCAGGAGAAAATATTTTCTTGCTTTCTATGAATTAGAATTATCTGTCCACATAGTTTAAAAGAAATACTGAATTTCTATGCAAAAAAAAAAAGTTTCAATAACAGCATCAAAGTCTTAACTAGCATTTACCATGAGCCAAAAATAAATACTGTCACTTTAAAAACACGTAAATTCATTCCCAATCTCAAAACCGTTTTACACTTTAAGGACTCCCAAAGAAAACTAGTACAATGATCATCTTAAAAATAACAAATATTAGCTTTCATGAATTCTCAGACAAAAAAGAAACCCCACCTGAAGACGGAGTTTTTGTTTAATTATCAAAATATACTAGTGTATTAGAGGCATAGAGAGGAAGACCTTCAGTAAGATAGGCAAACACAGTGACAGGACATGTCTCAAGCTTATCAGAGATTGGCTGAGGATGGAGTGGGACAGGGCAAGACTCAGACCTGTTGTTCCGGATCACTATGAATCACAGTCAACTCGACTGAACCTAAAAACAACCTATTGGGGGGGGGGGGAGCAGAAGATGTGGAAGTTAAACCAAACAAAAGAAGTAGCAATTTCTAAAGGAAATAATCTTTACTTCTTGTCTGTGCCAAACTGTACCTTGAAGTACATATGGATGAAAATGGAAGAGTGAAAAGAAATGAAGTACAAGAGCAGCAGTAGGAAACCCAAAACAGCAGCACGCCACAAACATGGAATTCGTACCCAAGAGATAAAAAGCTTGGTCAAATGCAAAACAAAATCCTTTACATTTTTCTGAGCAGCACACCTTACTTAAGTATTAATTTCAGTGTGAATGTAAGATTTTTCTTTTTACAGAAAAGCACAGACTATTATAAATGACTAATAATGTATAAATATGATCAATGAACAACTAATAAACCAAATAATATTACAAAAAGACTTGTAACTGAAACAAATTAAATCTGTAACTATGCATACATGGGTAGTTCCTGAATGGTACAAATGGTTAACTTGCTCACAGCTAATGGAAAGGTTAGAAGTTCAAAACCACCCAGAAGCATCTTGGTAAACAGGCCTAGAAATCTACTTCCAGAAAATCAGCTCCTGAAAATTCTAA